GAAGTGTGCAACATCCAGCTTGTCCTCATAAGGTTAACACAGCTGACTGGGAGGAAGAAAAGAGGAGGTAGAGAAATATGCCAGTTCAACCTGATGTTGTCCTCCACTGACCCAGGTGGTCTCTCAAACATTTCCCTGCACTTTGTTTCAAGTGAATGTCAAATAGTATATGTTCAGAGTCTGACCTTAGCAAAAACAACACCCCTCCATGCATACACACAGACACATAAACCACTTCTTCCATAGAGATAAGCATAAATCTCAAGCATAAGAATATATTGGGAAAATGCGTAGTATGGAATTAATCTCAGGACAAGAAAATTGAGAATATTAGAAATTATGTATAATATAATATAATGCAATGATACAATGTAAACCAAGTTTATAACTCTCAAATGACATTAGATACCATCATGGCTTGGTGATTGGTAGTAGGTAATAATACTTAAGAGTTATTTAGAGAAGTCTTGTCAACCTCAAATGAAAGATCATTTTTCTGTACTGTTTTTTTTCAATACTGGAGATTTAACGCAGGGCTTTTCCACTGAGCTACATGGCCAGTTCCTCTTTCATCTTTCATTTTGCTCAAATTTGCATTTCTCCTGCCTCAACTTTCCACACTCCCAGATGAGTACCATCTCACCCAGCCCCAACTATACCATGTTTACAATGTACCAGGCACTGTTCTAAGGCATTCACAGAATTAATTCACTTAATATTCAAAATAATCCTATAAAGTAAACAAAATTTTCACAAGTTTTAGATAAAGAAATGTGCACCAGAGAGGTTAGAGTCACAGAACCAGTAAATGACAGATACTATTCCGGGCAGTGACCTCTAGAAATCCAATCTTAATCACTGCTTCTCCAAGAAACCAAGCAAAAAGTTAATTTCATTTTTTACATCTAATTAAAAATGCCTTCAAACATCTTTCTTCCAACAAATGTGAACTCTAATAGTAAAAGCAAAGTCACAAATAATGGAAATTAAGTAGGAAAGTCCCTGGGAGGCAAGATAATAGCTTTTGACTTTAACATTACAATAAAGGAAATTCTTATAAGGGGATGAAGGAAGCAACAATAAATTTAAAAGGTCTTTGGTGTCAATTCAAGGCCATGATTAGCATAGGGTTAATCTGTTCATGCCTTAATCCAGGAAATCCTGAAGTCACAGAATGCACTCTTTGACCTTTGCACAAATGTCAGGCCTGTGTATGATACCAGCACTCTGGTATTCGGCATCTGGTAAAAGGCACAGCTCGGTCTCTATCATTTCACGTATATGTTTCAACAGGAAAAAATAAGTACAGCCATAAAAGTGAGCCTAATAAACACATTGTGATGAGAAATCTGAACTTCATTGAATGATAAACAGATGCAGTGCTCAACCTACCCTAGTGTGTCTGCTCTGGACCAAGGATATGGCCAGTTTGTGGTGGAGCAGCATAATAAGGCCTTTAAAAGTGGATCTATACATCGTGATGAACCACCATAATAATTTAAGAAATGGACACATGCAAGGGACAAAGGGAGGTATGGCCTTATCTTCTGTGTTCTCAAAGGAGCCAACTATACGTATTCTTCTCTTACTGGATTAAGTTAGGATTATTTCTTATCACACCAATCCATGATCAAAGATTTCTTACTGCTTTTATTCCAGATCATATATACTGCCAAGCAGTATTTGGATATTAACTGCCATGTTCCTGCCTGCCTGGATCTGTAATCTTCAACAGATCAAGTGGTCCAGGGCCTCTGGGATAGTTCAGTCTCCATTTGCAGGGTAGGACTTGCCAGCAACATCACTCTATGAGGAAAAGGTTTTCGTATTTTTATTATTTTTGTCAGGACAGAAGTCACATGCCAGACACTGAATATTCTATTCCCCACCCTCTCCTATTCCCCTTTTCTCCCTTTCTTCCTCTGCCTCTCCTTCTCCATCTTTGCCTCTCTCCAAAAAGTAAGAAAGCTCCAACAAGAAATTTATAGACAACACTACATTTTTTTTCAGCTTGTTAAAGATACAGATATACTCCTGGAAAAAAAAAAAGTGCAAGTGTCTCACAATGCTTTGAAATGGGAGGAAAGAAGTCTAAACTTATCTTTAAACACTTTGAAAAAGTACCACTGTAAAGAATTTAGTAATTAATGTAAATTATGGGAAATTCCCAAGATTTAAATGCTATAATTAATTTGGGTTTTGGAATGGGGTCATCTGCTCTGTCTGGAAGAACGTATTTCACCAAATGTTCATCATTAGCTTGTTTTGGGTTTTGTGTGTTGGTTGGTCTTTCTGTTTGTTTTTTGCAGTGCTGGAGATCACCCTCAGATCATCATGTATGCTGGCGATTACTCTATCTCTAAGCTATACCTCCCGCCCTCATTGAATGTTCCTATCTCCATCTGTATTTTGAGTTCAGTGTGAGTAATGCTGCAATCCATTATAATTGCCACATAAGATACTTAGTCGATATTTAGTCCAAGTCTTTTCCCCTTATTTTCCAAATTCTCTGATTAACTATATTTTGTTCTAAATACATTGTACAATATATTTTACTTATTGATCTTAACTTTAAAAACTCAAGTCTTAGAGAAATATAGGTCACAAAATACAAACTGTGTTAGGAGGAAAAGGTTTCAATGATCTATTATTGCGCCACCTGGTGACTATATTTAATGTATTTATTTGAAAATTGTTAAAAGAAAAGATTTTAAATGTTCTCACCATAAAGAAATGATAAGATAAGTATGTGAGGTGATGGATATGTTGATTCATTGGTTTAATCATTCTCCTATGTTATACACAGAATGTCACATTATATTCCATATATATATATGCACACATAAATATTTGTAAAGTGAGAATAAGAAGAAATTAAAATTTTTAAATTCTGAATTATCTTAAATGATAATGTTAAATCTTATTTCTCATGTAATTGGAGTTTGTGAAAGCTGCTTGGTGAAAATACTATTAGCAAAAATATTGTTAACATTTGCCTTTTACATGTGCACTTACAGCGCTAGGCCCTTTACCCATATGACTGCATTTATAGTCATCACCATAAGCCTATAATTTAAAATTATCAATTCTATTTTACAAATGAGGAACACAAAGACAAAAGAGAATAGTAAACTTCATCAATATCATACAATAAATTGCAGAACCAGTGAATAAACTCAATTCTCATTCCCACATCTATTTTCATAAGCACTAAATTACAACACATTGGCAGGAAAAATGGAAGTTGTACTATACTCTGATGGTAGAATAGCACTCACAGTATTTTCCTGGATTTCACAAAACATAGCATATTAATTATATGACTGCAGCTGCAGCTATGTGACAGTGGCATCTAATGAAAGGTCAAAAATTCGGGCAACCATCTAAGCACCTAGCGACCTGATAGAAAACACATATAAACATAAACGTGCTTGCATCACTCAAGAGATTTTACTTTGCACCTGGTTGTATGATATCCTGGCATCACATATTCAAATTCCAGCCCAGGACTTAGCTCAGTGGTTCTTCCGCCTGCCTTGCAAGCACAAGGTCCAGAGTTCAATCCCCGGTACCCCCCCAAAAATGTCAAACATATTCAAATTCCAAACTACACAATTGTAGAATTAAAGATGATGTTCTATAGGACCTCAGGGATAATATTTTCTAATTTAAAAAAGAAGCACATAAAATGATAAATGTGTGCTTGTGGATGATAATAAGGGAGTATATTTAAAACCAGAACTACCAAGGAATCAGAAACTTCTACTTATCATCCATTGACCTTTTCCTTTACAACGTATGAGGTGTGATTTAAAAATACAATGTGTATAAATTTTAAAAATGTATTACAGTAAAAGATACATTGCCATTGTTCCTCCTCAAAATACTTCCTCTCACTTCAAACACAAGCATCCTGTCATTCCTCTAACTTTCTGAAGCTGTTCTAGAAGTTCTTTTTGTGAATGTTCTTAGTTACGCTGACATGGCTGCCTTGATTTCTTGAGTATCCTGAATTGATTCAAAGTATTTATCTTTCAAGGTCATTTTGACATTAGAAAGAGCCATGGTCTCACGGGGCCTGATCCTGGAAATAAGGTGGATGCAATGAATGTTTTCATGAGCCTGCCTTTCTGTACGATGGCTCTCAGCAGCAGATGATCACACCACGTAATATACTTGTGAAAGAGAACTTCCAGAAAGAGGCAAGAAGGATGGGACAAGTGCATTTGGAGTGAAAGGGTTTAAAAATAATATGTGCTTTTAAAAATTTAAATATTCATCATATGTTTTGAATTGTCCCTTCTATGTGTCAATGGAAGGGAGCATGAGACCTCAGTACAAAAAGACAATTACCTTTTTTGCTTACATAAGGTCTTTGCAGGGTTAATCAATGTCATCTACATAGTAACCAAATTGTTGTCTGTGTTCTAGTGACAGCCAAGTAGGAATCTTTCCCTTTCAACAAAATCAAAGCAGCATGGAATGCTCTGCTCTGATGTTTCTCGGATTTTTTTCTCATTCAGTCTCCTCACGTCACATATCTCACTGAAGCAAGTGTGGAGATTTTATTTTTAGATAACATTATTCAAGAGTAACCATGGAGACAGATACCTGTCCCACCCAAATGAGCACTACAACAGTTTGCTAGAATAAGTCTGGAAAGAATATATTTATTCAGCATCACTATGGTAGCCACAGTTTTTGGTAATCATGAATTTATACTTAACTACTTAAAACACCTGCTCTTTTCTTTCCATCAGCACATATCTTTAGAAAAATTGACCAACCTATGGATTCAGTGTCTACTAAATAGGTAAGTACATGTTGTTATTTGGTTTATATCTCACTATGTTTTCACAGAGCAAATGTAACTACTTGGTTTTATCTACCATTACCAGTTTGGCATAAATATCCCAGCCTACTAAATTCAGCAAAATGAAACATTGCCTCCATGATCCCTTGAGAAATAAAATCAGAAATTATTCATTGAGGAGCCTTACCACAGATGCTCCAGAGTCCCAGATGTAGGATTAGGAAGAGGGCCCAAAACAATTTCCTAGTTCCAAGCATGGCAGGCAATGTCTTCATTCCTTGCGCATATCAAATGTGGGGGAAAAATGCTCAGGCAGAAGGCTTATCTTCCTCCCCTGAGTTATTCGGAGTTAGATCAGGTTATCTACCCTGCAGCATCTTAAAAGATAGTTGGTAAGAGAGGACAGTAGTCAGACTGATTGATTTCCTTAAGAAATGTGAGACGACTCTTCTGTGGTTTTGTTTCTTGTTAAATTGGCTGTTCACTTTCAAACACTCATCTGCAGAGCAGCTCAGTCCTTACGTTTTTCCGCTCTGCTACCCTTCTGGCCCCTCCCTGAGGTTTTCTTCAAGATGAAATGAACAAGTAAGCTTTAAAGAAATCTAGATTGTTGCAATCTTTAGGTTGAGAGTTTAATCAAATAGGTCAGGAAATTCATGGTAAAAGTACCTATGGTTAATAAACATATATTTCCCTCCTTTTCATAGCTTGTGATTATGAAACTTTTTATATGTAAAAGAGTTTAGACTTTTCCCCAAAAAATACCATATCATAGTAAGATGAGAACAGTTATTATCACAAAAGCAATGAGGGGCTACGTGAGGTTATGGACAAAATGAGTGACAGGATGTGTTTCCTTAACAGAAGAGGGAAGGACTGCTGTCTTTAATGTGTACATACACATCAATGGAACAAGATCACTGTTCCTATTACCTACATGCTCTTTCTAAATATTAAGGTTCTAACCAAAATGAGATCTTGATTCTCAATTAAAAGAAGCTTTCATTTTCAACAGGTTTTATGTAGTTACCAGCTGCATGGAGTAGAACAGAAACAGTAAAGGAAGAGAGGGAAAGTACAAAATGAGATAATTTAGGGCTGCCATGGGATTTCTCCGAAGTCACTTTTAATAATTAGCTTAGCTAATAATCAGAGGAGCAAAAGCAAATGCACCACCATTTGAGACTCCAAATAAGAGATCTGGATTTGTGGCTCTTAAGCATTTGTCTTTTTCAAGTCTTTCTCTAAGAGTCTGGTAATATAATTTCAAGGCCCAAACTTCAATGGTCTTCAGTACATAAGGTAAAAAATAGTCACCATATATTCACTGATTCAAATACACAAGTTGCTTAGAGATACAAAAATGGACTGTCATTATTCCTAATTGTAAAGAGCTCAGTATTGTAACTTCTTAACATCAGCCTTTATTGTTAACACTTAAATATCTGTGCATTTAGCCACCTATGGCTTAATATAGAGTACACACAGTCTTTGGGACATCCCTAACTGATCAAATACATTCTGGAATGTATGTGTGAAACATTCATACACTCCTTCCTTTTCCCATGCTCTCAGTGGAGTATAAACTTCCAGGAGCAGCTGAAGTAGGAGTCATCTTCCCTTTCAAGAGGCACTAGAGGTCAAAACCCAAAATCATAAGTCATAGAGCTCACGATATCACCCCAAACCAGAAAGGAGTCATATTAATTTTATCTCATTTTAAAATCTGTATGGTTAACTATTGTAAAGTAGGTTTTTGTTTTGTTTTGTTTGGATTTTTGCTATTTTGTTTTGCAGAACTATGAATGGACAGGGACTTCACACTAAGCTAAATCCCCAATTCTTTTGAAAACTGTTTTGTTTTGAGACAAAATCTTCCTAAATTGGCCAAGCTAGGCTAAAACTTGTGTCTTCTGCCTCAGCCCCCAGAGTGCTGGGATTATAGGGACATGGCACCATACCCAACTAGGACTCTTCTTCATGCAAAAATGCACATGCAAATTAGGTAAAATTTGGAAAAACCTTATATAACCATCTAGTGTATTTTTTAAAGGATCTATACAATATTTTGATATTTTTATCAACATGCCTGGCTCTTGTTCTCTCCACAGTTGGAGTCTCAAGAGCACTGCCCAGTGATACCATGCTTTGAAATCTGAGTCTGTATTTTAGTAAAAAAAAAAAAATAATAATAATAATAATGGAAAGAAGCTTGGCATGGAGGGCATGCCTGTAATCCTAACACTCTGGGAGGCTGAGGCAAGAGGATTGCAAAATTAAAGCCCAACCAATAAAATAATAAAATAAAAGAGGGTCAGTGAAAAGGACCTGAGTTCAATTGTTATTACCACAAGAAGGAGGAGGAGGAGAGTAGAGCAGGAAGGGGAGAAGAGAGAGGATGAGGGAGAGTAAGAGGAGGGAGGAGTACTGGGAGGAGGAGGGGTGAAAAGAAAGCAGGAGGAAGGGGAGGGGAAGAAGGAGGGGGAGGGGGAAAAAGAAGAACTGAAAGAAGTTAGACTCAGAAGTTTATCTCCATAACAAAGAACAATCTTTATTAGCTTGGTAACAATCTTGCTTTATTTAGGTTTATACCTTGCCTAGTAATTAAGCTTCCATCTTGACACCTACCTCATCATAATCATGTAATGTTTGGTCATAAAAGTATAGTTTTCATTTAAATGAGAAAATTTAAAGAGTTTATTGCATCCTTAGAAATGATTCCATTATGTATTAAAACAATTTTTAAAACAGAAACCCATTGCCAATTGCATGTTGAAAGACAAAAACAAAATAGAACTTGGTACTTTCCAATTCTCTTTACAAACATCTCAGGAGCTGCTCAGAGAGCAAATTTTTCAGTTCACTTACAAGCTCAGTTACTTTCATGAATCATGAAGTAGCTGTACTTTCTGCAAGATTATTACCCAAGTTGATCAGAGAAGCTGCAGTCATAAAACAAGATGAAGTCCTTGCCAGTAATGTTAGACAATATCAATCCCAAAGAGATGAGTCTTAATCCTGATTTTTTAACTTCCCAGATATTATGGCTTATACTAGAAATGCAGTCAGTCATCTAGAACCTTTGCCACTCTTCTATTTGGTTCTAATAAAATGGCCTGAATGGATATTTGGAAATCAATTATGAGTTAGTGAGGGCATGAACATCTGAGTAACAAAAGATTAGTATCAAATTCTTGGTACTTAGCAGTTGTAGAATTTTCATAGATTTTTGAAATATTCTGAGAGTCCACAGTAGAAACAAAGATGAACCACACAGATCCTCTTCAAGGATGAGTTTGCTCTTTGCTATGGAGAATGCAGTCAGCAGACAGCCTCTGGGTATTAGTTCCTTCAGGGTCTCACCAGTTGAGATCCACCTAGTCCAAAGACACAGCTTCCTGTGATAGCTTCATCCAGGGATGGAGAGCGAAAAGTAAATCAAGAGCTGGCCATGTAGACCTGACATGGAATGCAGATGGGCAGTATTTGGTTTGTAGCTTCCAAATGAGTTGCCTAAAGCTATGTAGGCCTGCATCACAATTTAAAGTGTTGCTCTGCCCAATCCTGCTTCTCCTACATTTTTTCTCACAGATTTTGATGCCTGCTTTCAGAGGGCCAAGCCTGTTCTACATCTCAATTTCATGCTCTTTAGATTCTGCTGCGTCAGTTCACTGGGTTGCCACCTGCAAAATGGTCATCTATAATTATTGCATCTATAATTATTCTCAACAAAAGATTAACCTTGTTTTAGAGAAGGTAGATATCAAGATGCCCTATATTAACAGTAATTATAAAAAGTAAAGATGGTAGAATAAGTTGAAAATTTCTATTTGCTGATGAAACTCGTACTGCACAGAGATTGAAACTCTACAAAAAATGTCATAGTAAAGCTTTGCTTAGCAGAGAACAGGGCAGACTCAAAATGGTTTTAATCAGAAAATCATTCACAAGGATGAATCAGTCATGCAGAGAGGGCTCAAAACAAAGGGCAAGAAAAATTAGAGATCTGAGCACAAGAATTCTACAAGGTGATCTATCCAATGGGATTTTCCTTCAGGGAAAGGGCCTATTGAGAGATTTAGTCCCATACTGTGAAGCGCATGGAGTTGATTCTAAAAGATGGAATGTAATAGCCTCAGCTGTAAAGTTTGAAAGACTTAAGATGCTATAATAAAATGTACACTTTTGAGGGTGTAGCTCAATGGCAATGAACATGCTTAGTATGTACAAGGCCCTGGATTTGGTCCCCAGCACCAAAACAAACAAACAAACAAACAAAATATACACAGACACATTCAGAGGATATCTTCAAAGACCCTTCCCTGAGTATTCTCCTGAAGGTAGACTGTCTACTTTCTTACTTTGTATGAGACATTATGCAAGCTACTTAACCTCTTTAAACTCTATTATTTCATCTGTTTTGTTTTGCTTTGTTTTGTTTGAGACAGGGTCTCACTATGTAGTTTAGACAGATCTGGAACTCACTATGTAGCCCAGGCTGGTCTTGAATTCACAGTGATCCTTGTGCCTCAGCCTTCCAAGTGCTGGAATTACAGGCGTGGGCCACCATGCCCGGCTCTATTATTTCATCTGTGAAAAAGAATTATAACACCTGCCTGTGAGAATGCTATGAGTATTAAATAAAAGATATAATTAGCATTGTACATTTCAAGTTATGTGTGAATCACCGATCTCAGTACCTGGTACAAAGCCAAGATCCTAATAAATGCATTTTCAAATTCCTATATCCTTTATTTTGTATCTTTGAAGCAGGATCACAGAGTCCACTTTTCTTACATCCTATTCCCTGAGTGAATTATATTTGTTGTATGTTCATATATTTGTGCCATCACATATGTTCGTCTCATTTACATATGCTTTCCTTATAAAACCAACTTATGGATTGATGATTGTTTTGAAAATTGTTTTGTCTTCTAATTTTGTAGCTGTGAATGTGCTTTGACATATCTGCCATTTGGAATTTCAGCAAAATGTCAAGAAGCCATGCAACTCTTTTTCTAGGAGGGCCTAGTAGAGGAGTTAAATGGAAAAGAAGGCTATTATAACTCAAGGATCTCTAATTACAGGGACTACAATTGAACAGGGGCCTTGGTTTCTACACCCACTTGTGAGGAGGCCAAGTTTCCCAGCCAGTGACTGAGCACAACATATGGGATCTTCTGAGGAACGAATGGTCCTGGCTTAAGAACTCTCTTCTAATATCCTTGCCAAACTTTCTTTATTGTACATGAAAGTCTAGCGTCCTTCCATTCAA